GGCCTTTCGGCGGCGCAGGGAGGAGCCCGAGGAGGACGAGGAGGACGAGCAGCTAGCCGAGGAGGTCAGGTGAGCACAGGGGACGGGGTCTGCGGGGCTGCCAAGCACCGCCAAGCACCGCTCCGTGCCCTGCGTTCTTTCCTCAGCTGAGGAAGCTGTGCAGGAGCGATGCAAGGCAGGAGCTGCCCTGTGTACTTCTTCTGCTTTAATAGGTGGGTTGCTTAAGTGTGGTACAAGAGGAAATGCTTACTCAACCTCCGACCAGAAAAGGAGGCACTGATATGCAGAAACGTAGGGCAAAACCACTGTAGAAGGTTTGGTGTTAACTGCAGGAAATTAAAGAATGTGAATTAAAGGAAACCGAAGCACTGAGCACTAAGGCCACTGGTTTGGGTTTTTTTCTTCAGGTTAAAACTCGAGGAAGCCAAAGAAGTGCAGAGCCTCAGGAAGCGACCCAACGGGGTGAGGTAAGGGGTGTGAAGGTGTGTTCTATCTGGCAGTGTCGTGCAGCAGCATGTTCCTCTATTGCACCCACCTGCTTTATGTAGAAATAGCTCCATGTCCCATAGTGCCAGAGGTGTGTTTGTGGCAGAGGAGTTTGTGTCAAAGTCTGAAGATGGAGTGGGGGGTGAGTCAGGTGCAGGAACATGGGAACGTGGTGCCAGCCTGATAAGTCTGTGCTGTTGTCCTAACTATGGAAAAAAAAAAAAAAGACTCAGAATTTATCATGAGATGTATTTAGTCAGATTGCTTCCGTACTGTACATATAGCAGAGCAGTTGGTTTACTTTGGGCCCTTTCATATCTTCTCCCTAATTTCCTTCTCTCTCATATAGCAGCTGATGCAGTAGTTGAAACGTGACCAGCAGCCAGCTTCATTTCTTACTTAGGTGATTCATTGCAAGGCACTAAAATCTCTCTGCCTGAACTTCTCACAGTTCCCTGCCTGTAGGGAGGGATTGGGAAAATTGTCAGTATAGTATTAATACAAGTGTTTGAGACCTGATAGATCTAGAGAAGGGTAAAGAAAGACAGCATTGTTGGTAATGCATTTCCTTCTTCTGAATTTTGTTTCTTTCTTTATGGCTAACTAGTGCTGTAGCTCTGCTTGTGGGAGAGAAGCTGCAAGAAGAGGCAACACTTGTGGTAAGTGCTCAGTATTTTCATCACTTTATTGCTAAGATGAAAGGATGTGAAAACTTTGGTGTGCCCCAACTGATCACCGTAGCAGTAAGATTTCTTACAGCCTAATGCTTCTTCTCCACTTTTATCCACATTTTGAAGACTAGCATTAAACTAAAGGGGAGCTTCATGGTTTTGTATTTTATCTTGCTACAGGATGACCCTTTTAAGATAAAATCTGGGGGGATGGTGGACATGAAGAAACTGAAAGAACGAGGCAAGGACAGGTGAGTGCATATGAGCTCTAAAGATCTTTCCCTGGATTAGAAGTAAGTCACAGCTAGCAATAAATTAACCAAGAATTGTACTGCTTTGAAGAATTTAATATATTGCAGTTTCACTGGCTGCTTGTCAAATTAAACAAAAAAACAACTGCAACAGTGTGGTTTTCATTTAGGATTAATGAAGAGGAAGATCTGAACTTGGGAACTTCCTTCTCAGCTGAAACCAACAGGCGGGATGAGGATGCTGACATGTAAGTCGAGCTGCATGGAGTCTGATGTTGAATTCTGGGTTGGGTATCCTCTCTATTAATTTTATCTTGGATACTGAATGTCTCAGAACATCTTTATTCTCACCTGCTTTTTCACCTTCTGGCTGCCAGACTTGAGAAGGCATTTTCATGAACAAAGTTGGGAGGTGCCAGTGGGGTAGCATTAAATACCAGCAGCAGCCTTCCTTGTTGGCTATGGAAGAGCTTGAAAGACCTTGATCTGAGATGCAAATATCTTGTTTTATGCTCTTGATGTTAGCTGACTGCTTTTGGAGAAATTATTCATGTCTCTCTTAGCCATTGGGAGAGTGATGCAGCTGTGTTCAGCAATTAGGACCGAGTACAGAAAACAGAACTAAATACCACATATCCCTCGTGGATTATTCTTTAGGATGAAGTACATTGAGACAGAGCTGAAGAAGAGAAAAGGGATTGTGGAGAATGAAGAACAGAAGGTGAAGCTTAAGAACGCTGAGGACTCTCTGTATGAGCTGCCAGAGAACATCCGTGTCTCCTCTGCCAAGAAGACTGAAGAGATGCTGTCCAACCAGATGCTGAGTGGCATTCCTGAGGTGGACCTGGGAATTGAGTATGTTGTTCACATATCTGTTAGTGATGGCCTGAGTTACAGGGATGAGGGCTGTGATTGGAAGCTGTCATCAGCAGAGCACTGGTGTGGCTGCATTATATGACCCCCATTTGGCTCTGTGATGGGATTCAGTCTTGGTCTGGGTTGGTGGGGTGTTTAGCACTGCATGTTAAGTTAAACACAGCAACAGGATTCCAGTGCAGTGTGACAGCATGGCCTCTGGGAAGAGGCACTCGCATTTTTGTTACTGCAGTCAACAGCTCCCTGGAGTTTATCCATGTCTGTCGTGCATTAGAATAGGATGTGTGAAAGATGCTAGCTTCACTTTTATCTTTTAAACAAACCATGTAAGCATCAAAGTTTCTGTAGCCCTGCTGCCTCTCAAAAAAAAGGTACCAAATACAATACGAGCACTATTACTACATGCAAATCCATTTGTTTCTAACATCTTGTTACTCTTCTTAAATATGAATGAGTTTTTTATTCTTTATTTTTCTTCTAGTGCAAAAATAAAAAACATAATCTCAACTGAAGAGGCCAAGGCCAAGCTGCTGGCAGAGCAGCAGAACAAGAAGAAAGACAGCGAAACTTCCTTTGTTCCCACAAACATGGCTGTTAACTATGTCCAGCACAACAGATGTAAGTCTCATGTGGCTGTCCTGACCCAAGTCTGACCTGCCTCTCTGCTAGAGAAAAGCAGTCAGTTGAGATGGAGTCTGTGCAGGAGAAATTAGTCTGTGTATCAACACAAGCAGCTGTCTGGTTTCTTTCTCTGGGATGCGTGTATAGGCTCCATCTGGTGTGCCTGTTGGTTGGGTTTTTTTTCCCCCAATCCATCAGCAAAGAGAGGGGCTTATTACTTGTGACCTAACTTTCTGCTCTTGAACTCCCAGTTGACAGTTCCTCATAAATTTCAAGATTTTTTTTCTTTAAGTTATGTCTTGAACGTGTGCTGGAAGTGTCTGCCTTGTCTGTGGTTATAAATGATGGGTTATAATTGAGAGAATCCATTTTGCGGGCTGCCAAAGCAGACAGGTGGTCAAACATACATAGATCTTACTAGACAGGAGATAGGAATTAATTTCCGGGAGAGCCTCTCATACCACAGCCATCTGGAGGAAAGGCAGCCTTCTGCTGTGTCTGACCATACCTACAGGGCTGATGTGGTGTCAGGTTTGTGTTCTGAAGGAAATTAAGAATTTTTGGATGACTTCTGATGAAATAGTGCCTCTGAAACTTGGTGTATCCCATCTTGCATGCATTGATTATCCATAGAAACCAATTACTAGAACACTTGTCGTGAGGTTCTGTTGTTTCTCCTAAAGATCAGTCGTAATAAGTGCCATAGAAATACATCTACATGAAGAATGCAACTCTGAAATACTGTCTGATGTTTTCCTTCCTTCAGTTTATCATGAGGAGCTAAATGCACCAGTGAGAAGGAATAAGGAAGAGCCGAAGCCCCGTCCGCTCAGAGTGGGGGATACAGAGAGGCCAGAACCTGAGCGTAAGTTCCTAATCTGAAATGTTTTAAGGGAAGGTACTGGAACACGTTAGGGTCTCATACAGAGATGTAGGTCTCTTTGTGCCTGTACGAGGTCCCCCAGGAAGCCAACTGGATGCAGGATTGTTTAGGGATATCTCTAGGTGGAGTAGCAAAGGTCACAACAGAAATGCATTAACCAAGCTGACTGATAGGGGCTTGCTGAAAGGTGGGGTGGCAAGGGAAGCTAAGTTAGGGAGCACTGACTGCTGAAGAATAAGCTTTCACACAGCAAGGGACTGCAGTTGTGTGGCTTTACAGTTCATAAGGTTGCAGTTAAGGAAATGTCTCGGTTACATCAGGGAAAGGACTGGAAATGTGATCAGTCTCTCTCTCTTCTGAAGGCTCTCCTCCAAATCGCAAGCGTCCACCCAATGAAAAAGCAACGGACGATTATCACTATGAGAAATTCAAGAAGATGAATCGGCGATACTGAAGGGTGTGGACTGAGGCCTCTGCAGGAGTGCTTGTTCTCTCTGTCTCTCATAGAGGATTTTGTGTCAGTGCCGTGAAATGGAGGACGGGAGCATCGCTGCCTCCCCGTGTTGGTGTCACCTGCAGAGCTTTTCTTGTGTTCTTGTGTTCACCTGTTTGCAGGTGATTGTGAACTCTGGTTGGTAAAATCTTGTATATAACTTATTTTCCACTATAAAGCTTATTTTATCATAACATCAGCTTTCTTGGCGAGCATTTTTTCAGCGGGCAGATGAACGTGCTGTTACAGATTCTTTCACCTTCTTAAAAAGCGTGGAGAAAAACAAGTAAGGTATCCTTTAAAAGCAGCAGCGGGAAGGGGGAGCTGAAAGGCAGCAGGTTGGAACGCAGCGTGGGGAGGAGCTGCTTTGTTCCCAAGGCTTCACTGTGCAGAGCTCTGTGCTGGGGGCCAGGGGTGATGTGAAGGAGCCTGAAAGCAAAAGGTGGGACTTAATAAAAACGTTTTGCATTGTAACAGACGTGTTGTTCTTTCTGCAATCGCGGACGGCCTGTTCCCCGGCACCCTCCTGCAGGCACGACGGCACACATCGCTCTTTTGATGCTTCTTTCGACTGAAGGCGCCACGTTCCGTACTTCGCTATTGGCACAGGAGGACGTCTGTCACCCGCGCCCGACATGGCGGCCCCCAGCCCCGCCTCTGCCCTGGCTCAAGATGGCGGCGGCGGAAGCGGCGCTTCAGGCCGGAAGCGGCGGACCGGAAGCGGCCGGGCCGGCCATGAAGCTGTGGCGGGGAGCGCGGCGGGCGGCTCTGGGCCTGGCACTGCTGCTGCTCCTTGCGCCGCCCGCGCGGGCCGTGGAACCCATCAGCCTGGGCTTGGCGATCGCCGGGGCCGCCGCCTCGGCCCTTACCGGCATCATCTCCTACCCGCGGCTCTACTGCTACTTCAGGGAGTGCTGCCTCCAGCGGCACGAGCAGCGCGTCGCCGCCGGTACGGGCCGGGCAGGGGGAGCGGGGAGGGGCTGGGCGGCCCGTCGGTTCTGCGCCGGGATGGGGCCGGGGGTTCTGCCCGCCGCTAACGGCTCGGTGTGCTGCGCAGCGCTGCAGGAGAGCCTGGACAGGAGGCTGTTCGGACAGCACCTGGTCAGCAGGGTGGTGGTCAGGGCCGTGCGGGGATTCCTCAGCAACGCCCAGGCCAAGAAGCCGCTGGCGCTGTCCCTGCACGGCTGGACGGGCACCGGCAAGAACTTCGTCAGCAAAATCATCGCCGAGAGCATCTATAAGAGGGGGCTGAAGAGTAACTATGTCCATCAGTTCGTGGCTACGCTGCATTTCCCTCACGCTCACAGCATCAACCTCTACAAGGTAGAAATGGGAGGGCGGTGGCGCTGACGGGGTGCAGTGCATCGTTAGGGTGGGAAATGAGCTGGAAGATCTTGAGAGGATCTCAGAATACAGCACAGCCTTCGTTTGCATGCTGTGTTTTAAGAAGGACTCATCATTGTCTTCATTTAATTTGTGAGTGGTTTGAACTAAGGGTTGAGGGCTGAATTCTGCTTCTGCTTGTTGCAATGACTACAGGTGGGGTTTCACAGTGTCAGTGTAGTTTTGATGCTGGAGGATGCTTGGACCAAAGCACTGCTGGAAGCACTCGGTTTGCCTCACAAGGCTCTGCTCCATGTTGCTGTTTCTCCTGGTACTCATCTTTTGTCCTGATGTTCAGCCTTTCCTTTTTGATGGGGTTTCAGGAATATCTTTCTGTTGAGATGTCACGCATGTCTCATCCTGTCTCTGGGTATCTTCAGTTTTCAGAACCATTTTAAGTGTTATTTTGAACTTTTAGTTGTGTTTCAGTCAAGAAGCCAAGCTATTGCAATAATGCAATTGAAAGGAGTACAAAACACAGAGAGCAGAATTCCTGCCTTCTGTTTTTTCAACACAAACTCAGCTGCTCCTGTTTCTATGGCACTCAGGACCAATTGCAGTCATGGATTCGAGGAAATGTGAGCATCTGTCCCAGGTCAATTTTCATATTTGATGAAATGGACAAAATGCACGCAGGACTCATTGATGCCATCAAGCCATTTCTGGACTATTATGAGCTTCTGGATGGAGTGTCATACCGACAAGCCATCTTCATATTCCTTAGGTAAGGAGCAACTCTCTGGGTTTGCTGTTCTGTGCACACAGTGCCTTTTAAAACTACCTTCATTACAACCTTTGTTTTCTCTTTTCGTAGTAATGCAGGAGCTGAAAAGATAACAGAGGTGGCACTCGATTTCTGGAGAAATGGGAAGGCAAGGGAAGATATACAGCTCACAGACATGCAGAACGCACTGTCTGTGTCTGTCTTCAATAACAAAAATAGTGAGTAAAGCTGGGATCGCTTTTGAGGCCGTCAGAGTCCTGCAAAAATGTCAGTCAGCCATCAGTGCACACACTGTATTTCACAGTGGTGGTTTCTGCTTTATGTGGTCTCCAGTTTTTGGCCTCTGGAGCCACAGTGCAATCTGTGGCCAATGGGACAGCTCTTGTGATGAATTAGAGCTAAGGACACCCATCTGCACCTTGTGTGATGTCTGTGGGGGGAATTCTGTGCTGTGCATCTATTGATGTTCTCTTCAATACTGATGTGCTGAACAGAAAGCAAACAAAGGAAATATAAGGCTGATGCAAGCTCTGGGAAAGGAAAAAAAAGAGCAGGACAAGCTGGTTTGTGAGAGCTGGTAACAGGAAAAATAGGATCTTCTCTGGGTGAGAGGTGAAGCTGTGAGACCAGCATCTGGGAGCAGGGGTTAAACGCAGACATTCAGAAGAGATCCAGCAGACCGAGACTGTGTGTCTGAGACAATGCAGAAAGTACCCTGAGGCTAATTTTAGATTGACTTGTGCTTTGTGGGGCCCTAAAAACACAGATGGATTCTTCCTGGTTTGTAGATATTCATCCCCTGGCAGTGTTTACCAAGAGGAGCAGTGACCAAGCCCTTCTCTTTCCTTTTGTAGGTGGATTTTGGCACAGCACCTTGATTGATAGAAATCTCATTGACTACTTTGTTCCCTTCCTGCCTCTGGAATACAAACATGTGAAAATGTGTGTCAGGGTAGAGGTCGAATCCCGTGGCTATGCTGTGGATGAAGACATTTTAAGCAGAGTAGCAGATGAGATGACCTACTTCCCCCGAGAGGAGAGGATTTATTCAGATAAAGGATGCAAAACTGTGGATGCAAAGCTGGATTATTACTATGACTTATAAGGCTTTATTGCTACAACCTGCAAAGGAGCAAATTTAACTTGATCATGAAGTGGAGAACCCGGGACATTTCATTTGTAAGCACTTTTTAAAGGAGGGAACATTGTTTTAACTGGTATGTAAAGAAGCAGCAGCGCCTCTGCGTTTTTATTCTGTCACTGATCACGGCTCCCAGGCACGTCGTGCCATCAGGGTCAGGGAGAGCTGCATTGTGAACTGAGGGCTCTGACGGTGCTGAAGACTTTCTCCCACGTGCTGTGGATCAGCAGAACCCCAGGGCAGGCTGTTGGAAGGAACAGTAGGACTGAGGGTATGGCCAAAGTGTAATTGTTTGGGTTCCTGTGGGTGGCCTCTTGGCAATGTAGAGAATCATGATTGAAGTCCTTGTTTGTGAAAGCCTTCAGTGGGCTCGTGAAGAAGCATTCCTCTAATGGCATTACAAGCAGGAGGTGTGTATTTTCTCAGCTAGCTTGGCTCCAGCAAAGAGAAGAGCATGTTGTGTAATTAGTATATTGGTATTGCACAGCATTGGAAAGAATATCTTTCTCAAAATAGCCATAAAAATGGGCTTTCTTTGAGTCAGAGTTAAGAATATAAAACTCCTTGGTGTCAACAGAGTTCAGTAGGAGGACTTTAGTAGAGAGAAGAAATGAGTTAAGAATCCCTGTCTGTCTCCTCACTGTCACTGATTCCAGTTTTGGGTTATTTCTTTAATGGATGAAGTTGCCTACCACATGCTCTCCTAGTTGTGATCTTCCTAGGAGGAGAGCAGTGTGCTTTGTGCCTGTTGAGCTGGCTCCAGGGAAAGGGTGTGACTTAATGGGAAAAGTGTGCAAGTTGATTTTACACCCAGGAACTGGAAAAGAGATTTCTCCTCCCTGACATAGAGAATTCAGAAGGCAGCTTGCAGGGTTTTCCCTTCTTCCTGTTCTCACAATGCTGTATGCCTTTGAGATTTGGGATGAAAATGGATCCAAATGCTTATGGAAAAGCTGTGAAATACATCACCTGAAGTTACTGCAGCCTGTCAGGCTTCTTTCTGAATGTGAGCACTGCAAAACCTTCTGCATTCCAGTTTCTTCTCACAATAAATTCTTCCCATCAGAAATGTGTTTCTGAGCTGCCTTCTGCTGTTCTTTGCATTGTGTTCTGATGTTAATTTCTTACCCTGACCCCTCATTGAGAAAGAACATGCAGTGTGGCTGGCAGAAGCCAGGTGAGTGGAGCACCCACGTTTTCAGAAGCAGCATCATGAAGTTTTCCCCGTGAAGAAATTAAAAAAGAAGCAGCTGTGAAGATTTCAACATTGCAGCTCTGCTCTGAAGTTGGGTAACACGCCAATTAACTTATCAGTCCTAGAATTGGTCAGCAAACACATGCTCTGAACTCAGGTACTTATCTTCCTTTGGCTTTATGATCGCAGAAAATGACGAGTTAATGGAAAAAAAGCAGACATGGAAACGATAAACTTTTACTACTGTCTGGTACCTTGTCATCAACAGAAGCAGCTCAGCCAAGCAGAGCTGGAGCTCGTCCAGCCTTAAATGTGCTCTTAGCTCTGCTCCATGTGCTACAGCAGCATCAATGGGAGCAGTTGTCAGACACTGCAGCAGTAGTTTATTGTATCATAGCCCTGGGTGGTTTATGGTGAATGGAAGCTTCCTCCAGAGGATGCAGAAGTGATGTTCAGATTGGGGAGTCTGCTTCCAGCACATCTTGTATCCAAAACCATGGAGCTGTCTGGGAGCAGAACCCACTGCCATCAGGCCCTTCTGATCCTGCAGTTATTCCTCCCTCTTAAAGCGTGTGGTTTCAAACAGCTTTTGACCCTGTCTTGCTGTGAAAGGGTACTTTGGGCTGTTCTTTATTAATGTGCCACCTGAAATGGGAGCAGACAGCAGCAGGAGAAATGTCAAACTGGGGGAAAGGTCTGAGCCTGACAGACACGGTGCCTTGACCCGGTGGGAGCAGCTGAGCTGTCCCTAAGACTGGATTCTGTTTGCTCTTACCAAAGTCCAGCACAAGCAGCTGCTACTTCAGTCTACAGGGAAAGTTCCCAGATCTCATGCTGTGCTTGTAAAGCAAGACTTTATGGTTAAAATGCAGTGACCTACTAAGTGCTTCCTTAGGATCTTTCTCTTGCTACCTATCTTTCTTAGATTAGATTTTTCCCTTGCTAGGAGGCAGCCTGGCCCTAGGGATGCATCTGCCTGACCCTGGGCTGCAGAGCTCTGTACAGCAGAGCCTTTATGGCTTTTCTGGAGCTGGTTCTTAGACCCAAGCCTAATGAGCTGTGTTACTGAATTTCTTACCGTGTTCTTGGACAGCTCAACCTGCTTTAATATGAGCAAGCTATTTAGTAGGCTTACCCAACAATTACATGATTAAGAATAAAGGAAGCACAGCAGAAAGCTCTTCAGGGCAGCTGGTTGAAAGCTGCACGCGGTACAACTTTTCTGTAGCTCAAAATGATTCAGGCAAGAGAGAGAAATGACTGAACATTTATTCCAACTGCAGTACAGTGGTAACAGTTAGTGTTGAAGTAACAGAAAAAGTGGTGAGAACATTTACACTTACAAATAAGTCAGTTAATAAGCAAAACATTGCATATGGAAAACTGCAGTCCAATGTCCCAAGGTTAATGGCTAGCTAGCATTTGGCTCTGGAGATTGCATCAGCACCACCAGTTTGCCAACATTTGACAAACTCCACGTGGAGCTGTAAAAGGCAATTGACACTTCTAAAGTAGAGCTGAACATTAATGCTAAGGTCTCTGCTATCATTTCCATGGACACAGTAACAGTGAGAGCTGTAGGTTTGGCATCACGTCTGTGATGGAGCAGATGCTGTGGTTCAAAAATAGCCCACACCCTTAAAACAGTTCAAGAAAACTAATCAATGAAATGTTAGGCACTTCTGTCTTGCACCACTGTGTTTGACCCACTAGTGATGGGTGGATGGTGGAATAGTTAAAGCTGCAACAGCCTTCCAAAGCCCAGCCTGACGTGGTGGGGGAAGGCTCAGTCTTTCCCACCTTTCTCAGACATTGTTCAGTGATAAAAGCTATTATAAAAACACCCTCATCGCCCAGTGAGGTATGGGGTTAGTGGTGGTTGAAGCCCTTTCCCATACCACCTTCTCTGTGGTTCTCCAGCATTGCATTTTTGTTGCTTAAAGTTCAGTATAAAAATACACTATTAAAAATAACATCAGCCACGAAAGTGTCTCATAAACAGGGCAAGGGGAGGAGAGCCTGCTCCTCAGCTGCAGGGATTGCTGAAGACATCACAGCCTCCAGGAGCCCACACTGTGACAGTCAGGCCCTTGAGAGCAACTTCTGCCTAAGAAGCAGAACTGGCCCACTGTGCTGTAAGTCAGCCCCTTCCTGTGTGTCCCTGTGCTGAGGAAGGCAGACGCCATGGAGTCACTGTGCAAATTCATTTTGCCCCCATAGAAAAATATTAGAAGAAAAAAAAAAAAAATCACAATTTCTTTTTCCCCAAGAAAGGGGAGCAATAATTACGTTCTCCCCCTTTCTCCACCATTTAGTGACAGCTCCCCCTGAGCTCATCTCAACTTTCCATATTACTATAGCAGGATACACGATATGCTGCAAGTCAGACAAGAACTGTAACACCACCACTCAGTCCTTGAGTAGCTGAAATCTCACGTGTAGGAGCCACAGCAGCATCAGTGTGTTGTGAAGATGGGAGCCTCCAGCAGCCACCTTCTGACTGCAACGCATCGAGGTATGTGCCTGTCCTGACACCACCACAGGTCTGATCACAATATAAATCCTTTCACTGTCTCATAAGCTAGAGCCTCTCTGTACAACTGCCTGCAAGAGTTCCTCTGCTGCAGGTCTGTGGAAAGGGCAGTGAAGGATTTAATAATCCTAGCACTTAAAGGAGTGAATCAGGAAAGCTATCCAGTACCAAAGGTGTCAGGCTCATAAGTCTTCTAAAAGGTTAAAAAAATGGGAGCAATATTTGGATACCAGCCAGTTTAGAGATGAACAATGGGATTTTATGTTAAAAAACAAAAGCTTAAAAGCCCACACCACTCACTCTAGGATTTTCACCACATTCCCTGCAATATTAAAAAAGCTTAAGTGCAAATAGAAAGTTTCCAAAAGCTCTGAAAGTGCTTTGGAGAGGTGAAGGGTAATCAGTCCATGGCTTTTGCGATGTCTTCGTGGATGTCCAGCTTGGCCTGTACAGTCTTGCAGCCTTTATCGGAGTAGATTCTTGCTTCTTTTGGGAAGTATGTCATTTCATCAGCCACTGCCTGAACAACCTCCTCATCGACTTGGTGCCCGCGGGCCATCATCTCAGCCCTCACACACATCTTCACGTGCTTGTGCTCCAGGGGCAGCAAGGGAACAAAGTAGTCAATGAGGTTCCTGTCGATGAGGCTGCTGTGCCACAGTCCACCTGCAGGATTGAAGGAAGGAAAAAGATACAGGAAGGACATTCTCTAAAGTTGGGCCCGCCTTGGGTAGGCTCTGCAGACCAGAGTTGATATACAAAGAGGTTTATCTACCCGTGAGCAGCTGCTGTAATTCTGGGAGGGGATGACATTGAAGTGAAAGAACCTAAGGGCCTGGTGATGGGGCACTGAGGAAGGCAGGGGTCAGAAAAAAGCAGAGCAGAGTCAGGGTAGGTGAGGTGCAGATTGCTGAGACTAACCCTGTGCTGTGAAGTAAAGCAATTTCCCATTTTCTGGGGGGGGACGGGACGGGACTTACTGTTCTTGTTATTGAAGACTCCTACAGACAGCATGGGCTCAAGGTCTTTCAGCTGAATATCTTCCCTGCGCTTTCCACTGGTCCAGAAGTCAAGCGCTGCTTTATTAATTAAGTCACCACCAGCATTACTATTCAAAAAAAGAAAAGTTTACAGCAGTGAGCAGACACAATGAAGTCAGAATCTCTTTTCAGCTGGTCACGTGAATTGTTAACCTTGAAATCAAACAAGTTACTGAAACAGAAACCTGTAAGCCAAAATAACCACCCTCCCAGTGCCCAGCCAGCCTCTCACAGCTCCTCACCTTGGAAGCTGTTACCCCCACTTCTTTCTCTACCTCACTTTTTATTGCTGAGCATGACACTGTAGGGTGTGACATGTCCTCCATGCTAGTCCAGTTCAGCTCTCCTGGCTGTGCCCACTCCCACCCTTGCCTTTTGCCCACCACCCAGCGAGGGAAAAAAAAGAAATCCTTGAGGCTGTGCAAACAACAGCCGAACATTGGGGTGTTATCAGTGCTGCTTTAGCCACAAATGCAAAACACAGGCACCAAACAGGCTGCCCTGAATTTTAACTCCATCCCAGCTATACCCAGTGCACCTATCCCAAAGAACTTCCCCAAAATCTGAGCTCTCGTGCAAGCTGTGCTCTGGTCTCGTGAGTTCTCATATCTCTTCTGCTGTATTCTGAATGAAGTCCCATACGAACACCATTAGCATCATAAATACAGATCAGTTTTTGAAGAGATGCGACCGACCTGAGGAAGATGAAGATGGCTTTCCTGTAGGACACCCCATCAACCTGCTCGTAGTAATCCAAGAAGGGCTTGATGGCATCAATGAGGCCCTGGTGCATTTTGTCCATCTCATCAAAAATGAAGACGGAGTGGGGACAGGCGCTGACGTTGCCCCGAATCCAGTTCTGCAATTGCTCCTGAAACAAGGTGAGAAATGCTGCAAGATGAGGGTGTGCCATGAGGTGGTCATAGGGAGTCCAGACACCCCTCCCCACCTGCCCCCATCCCAGCTCATTGGCTGTGTCCTTTTTCCCAAAGAGAAGGCCATAAACACTGCAATCGATTCCTTGGATGTAACACTGTATTGAAAGGTGAATTATTTCCCTGCTCACAAATCAAACTTCCTCATTCTTTCTCCTTAGTGCGTGGATAGGATGATGAGCTCTGGCTGCAACAGTTTGTCTATTTGCTTTAAGTCAGTGTTTCCTCTTTCTTACAGAACCTCCACCTACAACTGCATCCATTCGAACACTGGAATGTGAAGATAAGAAACCCCCAGGTTGGAGAAAGGCCACATGAAAACTCTCCCATCTACGCTTTCATGGCACAGTGCAGTGGGGCTGAGCAGCAG